TCCCAATCCAAAGCGGAGCGTGGTTATCAGGGTCCCTAGCCCAGTAAAGCCACTGCATACAGTTCAACATTCCCCCTCATCTGGGAAAGGATAAAAAAACATCTGTAGCATCTGTGTCGAAGGCAGACTTTGTTTAAGTCCAGAGTTAAAACTGGTCAACCTAGATAACAATTTTATTAAAATAGCTGAGGCTTAAGGGTTTACTCTGTGCTGAGTACTTTATGCACTCTGTCTCACTGAATGCTAATAAAACCCTATAAGCATTCTCACTGCCATTTTACTAATGAGGAAATAGGCTTACAATGGACAGATGCCATGGTCACGTTCTCCCAGCTAGTAAGCAAGAGAGCCAGGATTTAGATCCAGCTCTGTCTGAGTCTAGCTGAGGTTCTCAGTCACTGCCCTCATCAGACCTAACCCTCTCAGTGAGCTCCATGCCCAGTGCGGCCATGGTCGCTGCTACTCCACTTCCCACGACACAGGCGTCACATCTTCTCATAACTAGAGAAAGCTTGACTCTGTTCCTTTCTTCTGGTGTTAAGGTAAAAACATCAGAAGTGTTTTGATCTCGTTTTGAAAAACTCCCCCATATGTTTCTAGCTGTGGTGGAGAAGAACACAGTTGCTTGTGTCTCGTGCAGGTTCTAGGCTGGGGAGAGGGAAACCATCTGGTGGCTCTACTTGGTCTCCCGTGGTGGTTTGCACTAAGTCGTGGTGCAGGTGACAATTATTCCATGGTTCTGATTGCTCAGCTTTATACAACAGTCTCTCTGCTTTCTTGTCTCCCCAAACTACCACGCGTGGTTGATAAGACACAGTTATGCCCCTTTATCCCTTGGGTCCCACTCCACTGAAAGCTGACTTATACTATAGCCAACCTTATGCCATACAGGCAGACTTTGTTTAGTGTCCTCCCCAGTTCCACATCCTCTTGCTTAAGAGTAGCCTTGACCTTTCCTTTAGTTTGTTAATCTAGTCAATCAATACATTTACTTAAGACCTGCTCTATTCAAGGCATTGTGCTAGGTCCTGCTGCTTAAATACAAATGAAGAAAAAATGGTCTCTGTCTCCACAGTGCTGAGACAGGAGGCACTGAAACAGCCAAACCACAAGTGACAAGTACCTGTAGATATGTACGGGTGCACGCTCTGCTCGGGGAGTGCCAAGGAGGGAACTATTACGTCTGTCTAGGAAGGCATCATGGGAGAGAGGCACCCAGCTTGGCCTTGAAAACTGAATAAAATTTGATTCTGAGGAGAGGAAGAAGAGCACCTTGACAAAGACGCAGCAGGAATGAAGGCTCAGAGGTGTGAAGGCAGGGTGTGCATCAAAAAGCTGAGAAGCTCAGACTTGCCAAGGCGTGGAATTGGTAGGGAGCTCCTGGGCCCCGCCCTCAGAGGCTTTCAAGGTACTGAGGGAAGAGGACAGAAATACACAAATGAAGGTGAAGACTGGTATCCTGGGGGCCGGAGACATGTTTACTTTGGCCAAGATACTGTTTGAAATATGTGAGCTAATTTTGAAGATTTCACATAAAAATCCAGATTTCTGGTTTCTTCTAAAACTTGAAAGATCTGGGAACACAGGGTATATTTTTTCAGGATGGCAGCTGGCTGGAACTGAGGACTGAACTGCCTGTTTTCTGTAGGTGTGAGTTCTGTGTTACTACACAAGCCAGCTTGCTTCTCCCTTCGCCCTCCCTGCTCAGCCCCAATGGGCATGTGAATGGCAGGCCTTTGCTCTCTCTCCAGGTTCAAGCCGAGCCAAACCAAGTGCGGAGGTACAGCTGACGGATCCTGAAGTCCTCTCTTCCAGCTCACTGACTCCCACATGGATGGGTTTTCAGGGTTCCTTAGCCCTGGCCACTACTCTAAGGACAGACTCCTCTTCTTTAAAATTTCAGCATGCACGGCTCTCCTAATTATGAGATGTGGAAGTATTTAAAGCATCTCTAAAATCAGCTCATGCTGCCCAGGATCTGAGGCTCAAAACGGTGTAAATAAACACATCAGACTGTGGGGCGGGGCAGGTCATGTCTGTTTGCTTGTTTCTGTGCAAGCCGATTAATTAGAGAGCTAACAAAACCCTGGTCTCTGGGACTTTTAATCATACCCTGCCAGGGCTCGGCCTCAGAGATGTATTTAATGGACTCTCCCTGATCTAAATGTCTATAGTCAGCCCTTGTTCTCTGCTTCATAGCTCTTCTCAGTGTGCACCTTCAGACTCCTCCGTTCGTTGAGGAAGGGCAGATTCCTCATCAGGACAGAAAACCCACTTTCAGAAAATGCAGGTCCTCCTCCAGGGTGATAAGGAAAGCAGGTGCTGAAAGCCCTAGGAATCTCACAGTTTAGCCCCCTTTTGCGGCAACACTGATGTACTAAGAGGTCAGTTTGGTCAGTTCCTAATTCTAAGCTCTTGTAACTATAAATACATACATAGAATGAAAGGAATGCAGAGAAGAAAAACAAACAGAGAGAGAAAGGAAATGAGAAACATAACTTGATTTCATTGAGAAAATCAGTTTTAAAATGCTCTGTGTGTAGCAACTGCTATGCAATTGCCTGGGGGGGATTCTTCCAAAACGTACGCATCCCCTGAGCTAGACGTTGGTGTTCCTGGTAGGCTGAGGTTCAGTAACTCCGGACAGTGGAAAGGTTTTTTTGCACTCTGTCAAGCAGGAAGAAAAGGCCTGATGAACCACAGAACTGGATACTTTGTAAGGTACAGAACAGTCAGCACTTTCCTCTGAGGAGGGAACACGCAATTGGCATGAAAGTGACCCAAGTGATGAGCTGAGGAGGGCGTCCAAGAGTAGATTCCAGCTCCACGGTCTTTCAGGAGTCACACAGTGGATTGCTGTATGCCCTTGGATGTATCTGACCAGATGCAAAATGCTGGTCCCATTTAAATGCCATTCGTGGACCGATGCAAATTAGATGGTAACGCCGGGAATGCTGGAAATGGGGAGGTTGTATTTTGTTGGCTTTATTCCCCTGTGGTTTTCACCATCTGTTTTTTTTTAATGCATAAACAAGGAAAATGACTGGTTTGGAATACAAAGTTTTTTAAAAAACAGGTGACCACAGGCATCCTCTAAATGAGAAAGAGAGAGCAAGTTGGGGTTCTCTGACATTTGTCAGGAAGCAAGATGTTAAATGCCAGGTAGCAGTAATGCTCTGCCAGGGAAGATCCACAAAGCAAAGAAAAAGACTTGTCCGTGCCCCCACCTTCCTGAGGTCCTGCCATGTGTTTACATTTCACCAAGGGTTATTTTCAGATACCAACACAACCCCTCCCTTCTTAAACTAAAGATGAAGCTGTTTAGCTGGCCTGTAGCATAACCAGGCTTGGTTTTCAGTTAGCATTATTGCTAACTTGGCAACCTTGGATAGAATCTACTCTTAGAAACTTTTAGAATGAACAAAAGCTGCATTGTGAGTATGTTCTATTATAAAACAAAGATAAAGAGCTATAAATAGAGGAGCTGATGAGATAGACTAAGCAAAGATACTTCCATTTCTCTACTCAACAACAGTGAAAAAAATTATATAAGAGCATTAGGAACACAGTGTTTTTCTTGAGCAAAGGGCATCCTGCTTTAAAAAGAGGACGATTTGCTCTGCACAATACAGCAGCCACTCGATAAAATGGTTCTGTATGCTCTGTGCCAACAAACCTTAAAGCGATAGATTCCTTAATTAAACTGCAGGCAGTGGAGAGATTTGATGGGGGTGGTGATTGCAGGCTTGCATACTAATCTCTTTTACCTTCATCACAAGATGCAACCAGCCACAAGCACCAGAGATTTAAAACCAAATTGAACTTGAACATTTCAGAGCCCCTGGGGAGAAAAGCATTGGTGCATTTGGCTGAGTTCCACCCACTTCAGCATAAGAGGACAGACATGAACATTTTTCACATAGTTTTCTGGGCAGCCTGACGCCAGAGTTCTCATATTAGAGAAAGGATAAAAGGTGACGGTCTCCTAAGGAACAACCAACTCTTCCTTATTTGCAAGATCTGTTCTCAGAATCATTGTGGGCAATACCGAGGTGGGCTCTGTTAGTCATTCAGGGACAGGGGTTAGGCAGAAACAAGACCCTGGTAATTTAGAAGCCCTCGGAAGATTAAATATATTTCAAAATGAGTTTTAAATTCAAATGATTTCTCTGTCTGTGCTTAGGACACAGTGAAGTATGGAGACATGAAAACACGAGCCTGTTGGGTGCAGTTTGTTTCATTGCCATTGGCTCCAGATGCCAGAGTTGTGATGAGTGTACTTGACTCCTGACATCCCTTGGACTTGGGTACAGTCTGGGATGCTTGCTTCTCTGGTGGAAATGGGAAGATGATTAGAGGCCTGAACTCTGTTTCTGTGGACTCCCTGACTCAGTATTTCATTTGTTTTCTAAGTTAGATGGAAAGCTACCAGAGGCTTCTAAAGGCAGCAATGTATGAGCTTTAGCTCTACAAAGTACTCTAGTGACCTACGGAATTTTACTTGTAATCATAATAATGTCAGATGAAGAGGCATCCTGGGGAAGGTATGAGAGGAATTTTAAGTGGCTGAACTCTATTTGAGTTATTTGCTTTACAAACAGTTTCAGTACCTTAAGATTTTTTTTTCATTATGTTGGGCTTTTGATGCTCCAAAGCAATGATCTAGGACAATCATAATGTAAAAGTGATTCTCTCTTGAATCACCTTTTTGGGAATTGAGACTTCATCTGACCAACTTTGAGAGGATTTTGCTACCACCATAAGGAAGGGAGATAGAGATGTTCTGGATATTTGTCCTTCACTAGAATTCAAGAGGGATTTAAAAGTTTACTGACCTGGTATCCCTCGTCTCCTTCCTTTTCTCTCTTCCCTATTTATTTGGATTTTTCTCTTCCTTTTTTTTGATGAGGGAGATGAGAGAGAAGTGTCTGATGAAGAGGCTAGGAGATTCACTCAGGACTTGAACTCAGAATTTTACAACTTTGTCTTCTTGCCCACAGGTGATAACCCCACTGAGGACAGGCCACGGCTATGTGTATGAGTACCCATCCAGATACCAAAAGGATGTCTACGATATCCCTCCTTCTCATACCACTCAAGGGGTACGTACCAGGATCCTGATCCCCAGAGGACGAGAGCGCCTCAGGTGGCAGTCCTTCAGGGCTACGGCAGAAAGGAAATTTACAAACGGCATATATTTCATAGGAAGCTTGATTTGTCTATTCAGGAGCCATTGTAGCTAACGTTATTTAAATGATCTAAAAAAGCTTTTTGTTGCTTATCACTTTATCATTTTATTTCAGAAAGTATATAATTTCAACCACAGTTTAAAGTACAGACACTGTGGATATTTCACTAAAGATCATTTTTATGTTCAGAATAATTCAAAAAATAAGAAATTGAAAAAGAAAATTTTCACCAACCTTATTACATAGAATGCTGTCAAAGAATAAGGTCATAATACATAAGCTGGTAAATAAATCCATAACTAAAAGCTTCATAGCATAAAAAATGATAAGTATAAGAGATTTCTATTCCAGGTAACTCAGGTATTTCTTTTCAGGTATATGACATCCCTCCATCATCAGTGAAAGGCCCTGTGTTTTCAGTTCCAGTGGGAGAGATGAAACCTCAAGGGGTCTATGACATCCCTCCTACTAAAGGGGTAAGTGAGCTGCTACAGAGCAGCAGAAAAGTGTGTGTGTGTGTATTTACTGGGATAAAACAGGAAGGGCAGACCAAAGGGGAAAAAGTAGTCTATGAGAGAGTGAAAGGATGAGAGATAAGGAAAGAGGGAGGAAGAGAAGGCAATAATTAAAGATAACTCAGAGCCACATGATTTCACTGATAATATGGCACATAAAACTGAAACTCATGGACACAGACACCAGGGTGGTGGTTACTAGAGGAAAGGGGGTCAGGGGTTGTGGAGAGGGCCTTATATATGGTGGAGGTGGGTTTGGCTTCTGCAATATGCAAACCTTGTATCACAGAAATGTACACTTGAAACCTATATGATCCTATTATTCAATGTCACCACAATAAATTTAATTAAAAAAGGGAACATAAGCATTGTCCCTGCTCTCGTGGAGCTCACGAAGAAAGGAGGAGACAGGCAAATAAATGAGCAGAAACAATTTTTTAAAAAGGTAACTCTAGGCATTCCACATTTAGGGCCCTCCACTAAAAAAATGGGGTAGTCAATAAGGAAAGTCAATAAGGTAAAATCATTCATTCAGTTTGGCAAGCAACTAATATATCTCATATGTATACAGGGTATTACAGTTTACTCAGTCCATGTATATGTGTTAATGAATTTGATTCACTCTGTTACCCGCAGAAGGAGGCCTACACAAGTACAGTTATCCTTATTTCCTTATATCCTTCCCTTATTCTGCAGATAAGGGAAGTATGTCTCATACATTTAAGTGTCTCATTAAGTATCACACAGCTGGTAGATCTTGGGAGAGATGTTAGATCTTCTGACACCTAGTGCAGTGTGTTAATTCATACACTGCCTCTCAGCCTGAATCCTTTGAGGAAGGATACCCAGGAGGTAGTCAGAAATGTGGGACTGAATTTAGCACATGATCGTTCCAAATAACAACCCCCCAGGTGCCTTTAAACTGAGATTTAATTTGTCCCCCTCTAAAAATGCTGCCAGTTGTTTATTTTATGAAGGAACTGACTGCAAATGAAAGTTCTTTTGGGCTAAGAGTTCCCTGCCCTCTGAAAGCAATAATATAAAATATAATTATGGAAAAGCAAATAAATTAAAATATGGGAGAAAGCCTCAGGAAAAAAAAAGAAACGTGGGACTGGACCCCAGGGAGAGCAACTCAGTCAGGAGGGTCCACACAACAGTCAGCACTGGCGCCAGGGGAAGGATGTACTTATCAAAGTGTGGAGGAAGTGGAGTGGAGCAGAGCCTGGGAAATACCTCTGAACAGTGAGTGGAGGTGGAAGAAAAGGAGGCAGCAAACGAGACTGAGAATCCAGGCCTTTATTTTAATATACACTTGTTTCCACATGATAACATGAGCCAACTCAACAAATACTACCTTCAGTTTGTTCTTACTTTCCAGGTATATGCCATTCCACCGTCTGCTTGCCGAGATGAAACAGGGCTCAGGGAAAAAGAGTATGATTTTCCTTCTCCGATGAGACAAGCCGGAAGGCCAGATGTCAGACCTGAGGGTGTGTATGACATCCCCCCAACTAGTTCCAAGCTGGTGGGGAATGACCTTCACATGAAATATAACTGTGATGCTTCAGGAGCTGCTGAACAAAAACACCAAAGCATTTCCTTGAAACACTCGCCCCCACAGCTGGGACCATTGGTGAGTGCTCACAGTGATGCATATGATATCCCACGAGGGGCTCAGTTTCTGGAACCACCAGCAGAAACCAGTGAGAAAGCAAACCCTGAAGAAAGAAATGGTGTTTATGATGTCCCTCTGCACAACCCAGCAGATGCCAAAAGCTCTCAGGACGTGGTAGATGGAATCAACCGATTATCTTTCTCCAGTACAGGCAGCACCAGGAGTAACATGTCCACATCTTCCACCACCTCAAAGGAGTCTTCACTATCAACTTCCCCATCTCAGGACAAAAGGCTCTTGCTGGATCCAGACACAGCCATTGAGAGACTTCATCGGCTCCAGCAGACCCTGGAGATGGGCGTCTCCAACCTAATGGCACTAGTCACCACCACGGACTGGCGGTGTTATGGATACATGGAACGACACATCAATGAGATACACACCGCAGTGGACAAGGTGGAGCTGTTTCTGAGGGACTATCTCCATTTTGCCAAGGGTGCTGTAGCAAATGCTTCCTGCCTCCCAGAACTCATCCTCTACAACAAAATGAAGCGGGAGCTCCAGAGAGTGGAAGACTCTCACCAGATTCTGAGTCAAACCAGCCATGACTTAAATGAGTGTAGCTGGTCCCTCAATGTCCTGGTCATCAACAAGCCCCAAAACAAGTGTGATGATCTGGACCGGTTTGTCATGGTGGCAAAGACGGTGCCCGATGATGCCAAGCAGCTCACCACAACCATCAACACCAATGCAGAGGCCCTGTTCAGACCAGGCCCCGGCAGCTCGCATGTGAAGAATGGGCCTGAGAGCATCATGAACTCCACTGAGTACCCCCATGATGGATCCCAGATACAGCCGCTGCATTCTGGAGACCACAAGGCCCAGGCCCTCAACAAGATATTACCCTCAAGCCTGGGCAAGGACCAGCCTATAGCTGACTGTGGCAGCAGTGATGGCTCTGAAAGGAGCTGGATGGATGATTATGACTACGTCCACTTACAGGTAAAGAAACCTGATTCCTAAAGCACCTACATTCACATTCAGGGAGCCCAGAACTAAGGCCTGTGAAGCTGGTAGGTTGGACTACCAGAAGAGAGAACACGATTAGTGTTAATCCTAGTGGGTCACTAATTGGAGGCAGTGTACAGAAGGAAGAACATTGACCTGAATGTCCAGAGTCCTGGGTTTGAGACGTTTCTCTGACACTAATTACGTGACCAACTTATGTAACCTTTCTGGATGTTAATGTCCTCATTTGGAAAATGAATGAAGCCCAGGGTTGTATTAGATCCCATTGATGGAAGAGTTTTCCCAAGTAGGAGAGTGGGCCCTTAGGTAACTATACCAGCTCCACTTCTATTTACATTTTATGATATAGTTCCACATAATAAATAATTTATTTATTTTTAAGTGGGGGAGTTTAACCGTTAAGAAAAAAATAATTGAAAGCCTCTGCAGTAGAGAATTTCTAAGGTCCCATCATCTCAGACTTGAAAATCATGAGGCATTTTCCAATTGACCTAGAACTTAACCTGCATATGGGAAATTGAGCAGTCAAAGTCTGCCTCCTACAGGTGGAAATTCTACCAAGTTGACCTGGGATCCCGATAACTTGCCTTTTCACTGTGAGGGATTAAAGCATTCTACCAAGATCCATTATTTAGAGTTTGGCTTAATTTCTTATTCTGCCACTCTTTTCATTTGACTAAGAACCAAAGATTATCCTGAGAACTATTTAACTACCATTCCCTTGAGTACAAGAAACTAGGGAAAGCAGCAGTGAGCCACACCTAGTGCTGAGGAAAAGATTGGTTGCCCAACTCTGCCCATTGAGAACTATTATTATGGCGTGGAGTTGTAGATGATTCAAAGAAACTAGAAGTGCAATATGGTCCACATCTAGACTGGGGTTAGGAGGTTAATGGGTTCGCATATAATCTATTAGAAAAGAAACCTGAGAAATAGTACTGGGTAAGGAGGCTTGCAGAGAGTCATGGATAGCTCTCCGAAAGTGGTAAAATGGAACAGAAGAGGGCGGCACCCTACATAGAAATGGGTTTCAGTTTGCAGCCCTAACACACACAGTGACTCTGGAAGTCTAGCCGAGAAGCGCGTCATCCCTGACTGGGATTCACAGAGTCTAACTGGATATGTGGGAAATTACCAAGGCAGTGGAAAATGAAAGAGTATTTACACATTTGTCAATGAAATTGTTAGCATAAGTGAATCATAGTGGTGATGTAATGTTTTCTTTATGTTGAAAAATAATAGGGTAAAGAGGAATTTGAAAGGCAACAGAAAGAGCTGTTGGAAAAAGAAAATATCATCAAACAGAACAAGCTGCAGCTGGAACATCATCAGGTAAGTTCAATCAGAACAAAAACCACTTGGTATTGAAAAGATTTCCTGCTTAATAAGAAAGGTATAACTTCAAAAGATCATGATTTTTATCCTTCCAGCACACTTTGGTATAAATAAGCTCCGGGGTATATAATAGGGGGTAAGAACAAAGAGAAGGTTTATGATCTTAGTAATCCAGCTGGTGTACCTGGATTACATCCAAATAGCAATTTTAACAGGCTTAGCCTGTACATCTAACATCTTAGGACTCTTTTGGTTAAGGCTGTTAATTTCAATGAGCAAGACCTACTCAAGCTAGCCCAAGCAAACAGATTCTAGAGTGAGGCTATAGTAGGGAAATTCAGGAACAAAAAATGAAGATGTAGCCAAGTCCAATGAGAACTAGGATTGTATATTCATTCTCCTTCTTGTACTTCCTTGGCTTCTCTCTAAATCTGCTTCCTTCTTCTGTATTTGCTTGTAATTTCCTCTGTTTATCTACTCATTCGGCTCCCCTGTAACTTTACAGAACCCATAAATGGCCACTCAAAGCCCTTTCTATAGATGGCTTTGCATCTCAGCTTCCTCATCTGATAGTCAACTCCTTCAGTGGCTCATTAAATTCCTAAAAAACATTCTGATTTGGCCATCTCTGTCTATATATCCATCTACCCACCTATCTCTTCCCTATAACATAAGCCTGTGGCTTGGCTGTTCTTGGCCGAATCCAAGGGTGGAAAGGCAGGGTCCAATATTTTGAAAATATATCCAAGTCCATTTACTAAGGCCTTAGGGCAGGGCAGATTCATTCAGAAGTTGAGCTTCAGTGGGGCAGATATTAATGGGTATTACTAGGCAGGGGCATAAAAATAAGGAGAAATGAATTGAAGGTGTATAAGCCTCTTTTTTTAGTTGAAATAAAATAGCATGTAGAGACATGAAATGTCACATTGCACTCAGGAGACCACAGTTCTCATCCTTATTTTCTGATTACCCAATGATGTGCCCTTACATAAGCCATTTAACCTCCTTGGACTTAAGTTCCTTCTCTATAAAATGGAAAAACCTCTCACCCCTCTATCTAACAAAATGATATATTTATGAACATATTTGCAAAAGGATAAACTCAGTATCTTGAAGCATCACCTTGTCTCTATTTATGTTTACTTTAACATTTGGCGAGGTAAGACAGCAAAGTTTTAGGCAACTTATTGAAGCCATAGCAATTCCTAAGAAGAAAACAGATTCTGTAGAAAAGTAAAACTCACCGTGCATTTCTTGGGGAAGGAGCTGGGTGAGGTTATCTCTGCTCTGACTCAGCCCTACCCCAGGCTGAAACACTGACTGGGTTCTAAGCTGAGTTTACAGAGAGTCCTTATTGCAAAAGAGTCTCTCTCGAGGTTTGTTGGTAGACCTGTAAGTTGTCATCATTGGAATTTAAAGAATACACAATCTGGGTGAAGCAATGAGAGGAGAAGAAAGCTAACACTCATTGAGTCTGACTCTGTGTGATGTCCTTTGCTTTCAACTCTGTGGAGCCTGAGGCACAGTTAGCATTCAGATTTCCTTAGATGTATTCTTTTCCATAGTGCAAATATAATATGCATTAGTCTTCCCTGCAATGCTGAATAATAACATTTATAAATCTGGACAGAAAATGGAGATCATGATTGACATTTACACTAAGCACTGGGTCATGGATTGTCATTTATACCAAAATAGGACATGGATTGCCATTTATCTAAGCATCTTGAAGAACAGAGTCAAGACTTTCCTCCAGAAGAAGCAAACTGTCATTGATTTACTTGAAAAAGAGATCCCTGCATTTGATTTTTCCCTTATACCACTCAACATTTAGTAAACCTTTACATAGAGCCTGCAATATTCCAAACACCATTCTAAGCACTTTATAAAAATTTACTCATTTAACTTCCCTAAAGGTGTAGGTAATAGAGCTGAGTTTAAACCCTATGCTGCCTTCCAGGCTAAGGGCTGAGGCAGCCAATCATCCAATGATAGACAGTCAGCACTGGAGGATTTCTTAGGGATCACCTTTCTCAACTTCTAGGGTTTACAATTTAGGAAAGCAAGGCATGACCAAGCCCTCACATCTAATAAGCAACCTAGGGTTAAAATCTTGGTCTTTTAACTCTAAGCCCTGGTTAATTTTTATTACAGCACACTACCTTACCCTTAATGATATCTTCTGTGTTTTCTTCCTTGCAGCTAAGTCAGTTCCAGTTGTTGGAACAAGAAATTACAAAGCCAGTGGAAAATGACATTTCAAAGTGGAAGCCCTCTCAGAGCCTCCCGACAACAAACAGCAGTGTGGGTGCTCAGGACAGGCAGTTGCTTTGCTTCTACTATGACCAGTGTGAGACCCATTACATTTCCCTTCTCAATGCCATTGACGCTCTCTTCAGTTGTGTGAGCTCAGCCCAGCCCCCGCGGATCTTCGTGGCGCACAGCAAGTTTGTCATTCTAAGTGCACACAAACTGGTTTTCATTGGGGACACGCTGACAAGGCAGGTTGCTGCCCAGGACATTCGCAACAAAGTGATGAACTCCAGTAACCAGCTCTGTGAACAGCTCAAGACTATCGTTATGGCAACGAAGATGGCCGCCCTTCATTACCCCAGCACCACCGCCCTGCAAGAAATGGTGCACCAAGTGACGGACTTGTCCAGGAACGCGCAGCTCTTCAAGCGCTCTTTGCTGGAGATGGCCACGTTCTGAAAGGGAAGGGAGAAGGGGGTGCTGAGTGGGTTACTAAGGAAAACTGGAAATAGTGTCTGGTTTTTGTAAATGTTATCTATTTTTGTAGATATTTTATATGAAACTGAAATATTTTAACACTGTATGGTTTAGACAACATTCAGACATTCAGGGAGTTAGAAGGAGAACTTTTTTCTCTGCATTGTTATGTATACACATAAGCATCTAAGATATAAACTGTACAGAAACTTGGCCACTTGTGTATGTGTGCTTGTGTATTCGTGTTTGTTTATAGGTGTGTGATACATTCCATTAAAAACATGAATTAAGATGCACCTTAGTAAATACATTTTAATGCTGCATTTGTTTTTAAGAAAACATACCAGTTTCTTGTAATATTGCTCTACATATACTAGCAATTTATTCTGAGCCCGTCACTTCCACATCTGGGAAGGGAATTATTTCAAGTGTTCACCTTCCAAATAACAAGGCATGGTATATACCTCGTCCTTGTTTTGAAACTCTTTCTAAAATTGGCTGTCTTAGGTATATATTACAAAATGTCTCACTTCTGGTTGAAAAAGCCATCTTACAGAAAAAAAGTTTCAGAAAGTCTACATTGATCCAAGCTCCTATACTTTAGGTGCTGGAGAGAGAAGAGACACGTGTGTTAAGCAACCAAGTCCCCAATTAAGACTGAGTTGTTTGAACACCAAGAGGACGTCACAATGAAAAGAGAGCATGTGCTTCCGTGGGACTATTTAATGGTCTGTATTTTTTAATGATTTGGCATGAGATTTTCCAAATGATGTTTTCAGATGTGTGAAAACCATATTATGTGCATCAGGAATTTATAAAAGCAAATCAGACTATGATCAGCCACAAAAAGGATGATTTCATCTGCCAGGTGTAAGTACGGGACTTTCTGACTTTCAGTATTCACTTAGGTGCTACTATCCCCCCATTACTTGAGGGAAACTGGCCAGTTCCTTCATCATCTGAACTTTAGAGCCATGAGTCCACATCCTACTCAAAGAGAATTCATGGCTTGATCTTGCACCATCTGTAGAACATGCAGAGGCACACTTGACACTTAGAGTAGCTACCTGAGCCCATCTAGTCTTTACTACTGTGTCTGGCCAACAATCTTCTGTACACAGCCCACCACCATCTCACCACTCAGCGCAGTATCCATTCCATAGTCTATCCCCTTGCACCTGCTGGTGTTGCACAGCACAGACACATTATAAGCCAACTGCTTGATCATGCAGCAAATAAAATACTTTCTGCCTGGTGAGAAAATGTATTCTCATAACTACCAAGTCAAGAAGCACACTATCTATGGTCTTTCAGCCCACTTCTTACTTAATGGTTTTATTCCAGCTTGTTTGAAAATGTTTTTATTTGTAATATATACTTTGACTGAACTAAGCTTGCATTTTAAACATCCAAGTTATAGGAACATGGCAAGATTTAAAGAGCAGAATGCATGATCTCAGTATGGGGAAACTTACCATAGAAGATGCTTTTCAAAACAACTGCTATTACAGTTCTCAAAGTTCTGTTCTGCCAAAAGAAGATTAAAGGTTGTATTGTTGTATGACAAGTAAATGTGTGGGGAGGAAGGGGATTACTGAAAATTGACAACACTTGAAAAAGCTTAAAAGTATGTCCTTGTAGATTTCATTATAAGTGTGTATTTCTTAGGAGATGACGGACTTGTTCTAAGTGGTGACATTTCAGTTTTAAAGTCAAAATGTTCAATCTGTATTCTTTTTGTTATCTTGTATGTAGAGGCTATTTTAAATCATTAAATTTTTTAGATCTGTTTTTGTAGCCACTGGGTTTTTCTTTTCCACATGTCCTTTCTTATCACAGAATTAAATATAGGCTTATTTGGGCACTCCTAATACAGAAAGTCACCTTATCAATATTATAGATCTGGATTTTTTAGGAAAATCCAGTTGTGTATTTTTAGATTTTGTGTCACTTCAGAGTGCATTTGCATTTGAAGAAAATTCTAGAATCTGTGAACATTACCAAACCCAAATATCTGGAACAAGGCTTCTCTTCACCAGAAAGCCTGTAACTTTAAGTAATAAATAGGTAGGATAGTTCCACTATCACACAGATACTGCCATTTATGTGCTTTTAGAATAAAGGAAACTGCCCCATTCGTTCTAGAATAAACATAAAGAAAAAAATTAAAACTATATTTGATGAAAAAAGGGATTCATAACTACCTAAATTATTTTTAATGTTTAGACTGCTCTTTCACTCAGTTCTATCCTACTGGGATTTATAAAGTATTTGAATATACCTTATATCACTTGCCCACATCTATAAACATTAATTTATTTTTAACATAAGTATCAAGGCATTGCAATGGGGAATGGAAGGTCTTTTGAAAAAAATTGATGCTGGGATGACTAGATCTCTTCATTGGGAGAAAATGAATCATTACATTATACCCTGCACAGAAATTAACTCAAATAGATCATAGGTCTAAATGTAAAATTTATATTTTAATACTTCTAGAAGTAAACAGAGGAGAAAAATTTTATGTAGGTAGACAAAGTTTCTTTACAACACAAAGCACATAAAGCATAAAAGAAAAACTGATAATTTAAACTTCATCAAAATGAAAAGTTTTTAGTCTTTTAAGGAGACCATTAAGAAAGCAAAAAGGCACAGACAAGGAGAAAATATTCACACCACATCCATCAGCTAAAGGGTATGCATCAGAATAAGAAGACAACCACATTTTTTTTTAACTGAGCAAAAATTCTGAACAGAAACTTTACAAAAGAAGACATGTACGAACAATAAGTAAATGAAATATAAATATACCAAGTAGAATCACTAAAATTAAAAAGACAAGCCATACTAACTCTTGACAAGAAAGGGGAGCAAATGGAGCTCTTAATACACTGCTGGTGAGAATGTGTGGAGGTGACTTTCCTCACAAGTCCCCCTGTGTGCCACAGATGAGAGTAAACGTGACTGAGACATGATGTGATCAGCTTGGGGAGGAGAAGTGGCCAGTTTCCCAGAGGAAAAAGGCCTTGAGCAGTGGCCAGTTTCTCAGGGGAAAAAGGCTTTGAGCCCCCTCCTCTAGGGGCTTTTATTGGGTTGTAATACACAGGAATGCAGGGCAGCAAGGATCAAAGAAAATCTGAGGTCTTAGTCTGAGTCAGAGTCTGTCAGGAACAGAGTTTTAGGGTGTCCTGCTCGAACCCTTAACGTGAATGAAAGCACTCCTAACAGAGCAGATTTCACAGGTTTATCAGCAAGTCTTTGTGATGCCAGATTTTTCCCTAGGACACGCTCTAGCAAGGCAAGGAGCCGCACCCCTCCCCATCAAGTATTCAGGCTTAAGAGGATTAGAGCCAGGAAGGGCTTCTTCCAGAAGACAGGGGACTTGGGCTATCTCAAAGCTGGGGGGTGAGAGCCCATTGCTCTTGGTTGCAGCCCCCCGAGTCCTTCCATGAAGACCTCCCAAGTGATCAAGTCTGGCTTAGGTTGCCCCCCGCTGTGAGGGGTCTTACCTGTCATGGACTTCTGACCAAGTTTTGGGGGCAGGGGGAAAACTGAGGCAGCGTTTGCTACCAGAGACAAGCTTTGTCTCCTGCAGCTGGCATTTCAGAGGTCCTTAGCCACGAAGAGTAGTGTTACAATTCCCAGAACCAGGCAGAGCGGTCCACAACAAGAATGTAAAAGGGTACAAACACTTTGGAAAATTGATTGGTAGTTTCTTTAAAAATTAAATCAATGTCTACCATATGATATGACCTAGCAGTTCTTCTCTTAAGTATGTGTCCTGAAGACATCGAAGCATATGTCCATACGAAGACTTGTATAAGACTTTATAGTAACTCTATTTGTAAGAGCCAAAAGCTAGAGACAACCCAAATGTCCACCTTTGTGATATAGCCACATAATGGTATACTACACAGAAATAAAAGGGAACCAGAAAAATGAAACAAAAAACAACATAAGTGAATTTCAAAATTGTGATGGGTAAAAGGAGATAGACCAAAAGAGAGTACATATGGTACATCTTTATTCATGTAAAATTCTAGGAAATGCAAACCACAGTGGCAGAATGTAGATGAGTGATTGCCTGGGAAGAGCACTGGTGGGAGAAATGGACCACCAAGGAGCTCAGGGAAGCTTTGAGGAATGGTGTGTTCAGGCCTTAACAGGTATATGCATGTCAGAACTAACCAATTTTTTTAAAACATAGTTTCTTTTTTGTCAGTTATTATTTTTGCAGGAAATGGTCTAAAACACTCTAGTTAAAAATCAGAGATTCTTAGGCTGGATTTTTTTAAAGCAAGACTAAATTACATGCTTTTTAAAAGACACCCACTTTAAATAATAATACACAGGTAGGTTAAAAGCAAAGGGGTAGAAAGAGGTGCGCCATGCACATTCTAATCAAAGACACAAAAACCTGGACTGGCTATATTGGCAGACAAACTAGAATTCAGAACAGTGGCAAAGAAGAGCATTTCATGATAAAAATGATGAACTCATAAAGAAAACAAAACATTCCTACATGTGTATGCACATTATCACAAAATTTAAAGACATATGCAGCAAAAACTAATATAACTCAAAGGAGAAATAGAAAGTCTGTAATTGCAGGTGGCGGAGTTTTAGATATTTTTCTCTCACTAGTTAATAGAAAAGGAAACAGAAAATCAGTAATAACTGGAAAGGATGGAGCAACTGGAACTCCCTGCATTGCTGGTAGAGATGTAAAATGGCACAACCATTTTGGAAAATAGTTTGGCAATCTCTTATAAAGTTAAACATATACTTACCATATAAACAAGCCATTCCACTCATAGGTATTTACCCAAGAGAAATAAAAATATATGTCTAGAAAACTAACTGCTTCATTCATCAACTCAAATGAAAACAACTTGAATGGCATCAACAGATGGGTGGCTAAATAAATCGTGGTCTGTTTATACAATGGAATACTATCAAGCAATAAAAAGGAGTGGACTAATTTAACAGGTAAGGCACGAATGGATCAAGCTTAGAAATGCTATGCTGAGGGAAAGCGGGGCAAATAAAGAGTACATGTATATGAAGCTCTAGAAAACACAAATCTAATTTGTAGTATCAGAAACCAAATCATGGATTTCCTGAAGTCGGGCATGTAAGTTGGGACATATCTAGAAAAGAGCACAAAGGGAGTTTTTGGTGTGGTGGATATGTTTTATTTCGGTGCTAGGCATGTTTTATATCAGTGCTGTGTATGATGGAAATGTTTCATAATTTGCATTGTCTGAGACAGTAAACAACAGTCACATGCAGCAATTAAGCATTTGAAATGTGACTAGTACACTGAAGAAATGTTTTTAATTCTAGTTAATTTTAATTTAAATAGCCCCAATATGATTAGTGGCCACCGTTTTGGACAGTACTTTGTATCTTGATTCTTAGGGTAAATATGCAAATCCATATTTTTGTCAAGATTATCATAATATACACTTCAAATGCTGATTTTTTTTGAGAGAGGGGAATGAAAGAAGAAAGAGGGGGAGAAACAGTGTTGTGCAAGAGAAACATCGACAGGTTGCCTCTTGCATGCAGGAACTGGGGCCCCACCCAGTGCATGTGCCCTTACTGGGAATCAAACTGACAACCTTTGACTTTGTGGGATGATGCTTAATCAACTGGGCCACACTAGTCAGGGATCAATTAAGCTGATTTAAAAAAGAGATAAAGCATTTTCCCAATTACACCTGTTTAATTTTTTCCAAATCAATATTATCATCAATTCACAGAAATACTGGAAGGCAGGCCCACAGAAAAGGTCAAATCTGAAGTCCAGCTTTTTAAAAAGTCAATCCTGAGCTTGTTCAAGACCAACCAGGAAGACACATATTGTTTCCTACTCCCCTAGTCAGTAAATGTGCATCTGGGCTTTAGATGTTTCCCCATAAACCACATTTATCCTCTTCATAGTTTTTGAAGAATTGTGACAAAAGAAATGTTGCCATTCACCAGAGGGCATAAAAAAATGAAGATTCCATTACTCATTGAATATTTCCTGCCTGGCCAGCCAGGGCAGGCACATCTGCCCTTCCCATCAATAAGACAACCACTGTCCCAGCCTGAGGAGCTTCCCAGCAATGTCTCTGCTCACTCAGTGCCAGGCAGCAAAGGGACAGGAAAGGGAGAAAAACTGCTCTCTGCTTGTCTGTCTTTGAGACTAAAAGTAAATATGCCTTTCAAACCATTTAAGGAAGATCACAGAGAAATGCCCAACTGAAAGCTTCAAGCAAAGACTTCAGTTGTTCAGAGGGTACAAAAGCAAAGCAACCTAGGATGGCTAGAAAATTGAGGTTAAAGAGATTGATGGCAAAGGAAGGGCTAATGTTCCTGCCTCCTAGCAGAGGCAGGCAGTCAGGAACAAGCACAGGAACAAGGGGGAAGTGGGAATGATGGAGCGCTTGCTAGAATATATCGCATACCAAATATTTGTTGGCTTGATGAAACTGAGCATTAGACAAGACACCATATTCTTTCAAATGACAGAAAGGAGAAAAAGCAGGCCTATGGGGGGGAATGAGAAAAAAGAGATAAGAAAGACAATGAAAACCATGAAAGGATAAAAAGAGGAGAAGGAGAGTGGAAGGGAGAAAAGGGGCAACAAGAGGGAAGAATTTCAGTCAAGATAGTGGCATAGGCTGACATGGCTCATCTCTTGACACAACCACGTCAAAATTACAGCTAAAATGTAGAACAACCATCACTCACCAACATCAGAAATCCAGGTGAATGGAAGCCTGCCAACCATGCAACTGAG